CGTTAAACATAATAATAAACTTCAACTTCATCAGGTCTAAAGTAGAATGAACCTGCAAGAAGAGCTCTGGTGTTACTACTCCTATAGCTGTAACCAGATGGAGGACGATAGGTGTATCCAAAATTGGTGGAGGAAAATTTGTTTTTGTTTGCGTTGTTTGCTATGTAGATGTCAAATCCTCCTCCCAATGTTGGTCCATAGTTAGGGCTGATAAAGATGGCTGTGTTGCTGTAACGATAGACGGCTGATCTAAATGGACTTAAATTGTCTTTGTTACGAAGTGAGAAGATGTAACTACTGGAACTTGTTCGATAACTTTCACCTGAACCTATAAATATAAATTTATGTTTAAACTGGTTGTTACTTTTTAGATTTGATGGGCACAATCAACATTTTTCTTGTACTTTGTTTATTAGTAAATGCTTACAAAATTACAAAACAAGAAGCAAAAACCAACTCATCAACAAATTTAAACAAAGACAAAAATTAAACATTCACCATTATAAACATACATTGAATTATTGAAAAACTTACCACCCCAACTTATCGTTGAATATCCACCAAAAATGTATTTACCAACTTTAACTAAAGTTATAGTTTTTACTCGATTGTCACATCTTGAGTGGAAAATCCTGGAATCCCATCCATCAATGGAGACTCTCCAACAACAAGTCAACTTATCAAAGGAAAACCACGTCTTTAACTGCTTTAGAAATCTTTCTGGTTCCCATCTGAGTATCTCTGAGGCAGAGATATCATCTAAATGTTGATTATATAGTTAATGTCTGTTTGTGACATAAGTGATTTAGACGGGGTGTATTGGAGGTGGGGCTCGGGGGCGCTCGGTCCACAATAGAAATCATTCAATATTATGTTCCATTAACAATTATTATAGCAAAAAGTTCATGTTGTCAGATTTGAGGGGAGGTGTTACCCCATTCCGGAAGAATGTCAAGAAGCTCGGCTCAAATATACGCTACTGCTTATATCATTGTCATTCAGCGGCGTAAGAAGCAAGAGAAAGTTGGGGGACATAAGCCTTTTGGGGGCAGTTTTTGATTTAAAAAGGATACTTTTTTTCCTAAAAAAATGCACTTTTCTCACAAATCAAAAGGGCACTTTTTTTATTAAATTTGAAATGTTAGGGGGGGGGGACATATCTCGAGGCACTCGTTGACGCTTTCTATGCCACTTTTGTCAATCTTGTTGAAAAGTGCTTCGCAAAATTCATTTATTTCATGTTTAGCTCCAATCTATAATAATAAAAAGTCAAAAAAGCTGTAATAACTTGAAATAAACAGTAAGACAAATGCCTGTTTTTTAAAGGCTTACCCCTAACCACACACACAGAATGAAGTTTCAAAATCCCCTCGCGTAGCTATAATTTGAATTTTCATGGCGTAGCTATAATTTGAAATATTTTGGCAAAAAAACATGCCATTGTTGAATACATTAAATTGCCATTACTTGGTAGGAGCGTAATTTCTGCGTTGCAATCATTGAGTATGAGTGTGATTGAAGTTTTAGAATACAGGCAAAATTCAGTAAGTTCACGCAAACATTCTCATTCATCATATATCATTCACCATATCATATATGAAACATATCACCTTGTATACATCAAAAATGTTGAGACTACTTTTACAAAAAATTCTTAGAATCACTTGACCAACATTTTTTGATGCCAGGGTCAGGCAGACTTTATAAAGTTTTTGTAAATTCCACTGACGGTAGCTAATGTAATCAAAACTAATATTACTATGGACAATATTGTTTCCTTTATATTGATTTCAAACTAATTTCCTACTCGATGGTACTTGATAAACTAAAAGATTTTTATATTAAACGGAAATCTCAGGGAGGTAGTAGATCAGAGATGATCTCCCCCACTGATGATTTTGTCAGAAATTTTAAAGTTATAAGGAAATGTAACAACAACTAATTGTTCTTAAATTCAAGGGAAAATGCTGCAATAAGAGTAATTCAATTGAAAATTCAATACTAAACCTACTATATCTCCAATCTACTTTCTTTTTATGTGCTTGCTGTTGTCATTGTTGATTGATTGATAAACTTTACTTAGAAAAATTAATTAGCCTTTTCAGCAATAGCTACATGAGAAATGGCAATTGCACTTTTGCACTACACATAATTTTTTGACCATATGTGTTAACTCAAATGACAGATGACATATTTTAAACCAACAACCTAAGAATATTATAAGCAATGACGTGGCCTTTAGTTAAGAAATAAAAGTTGTTTAATGTATTTGCACAAGCTTATGCCATCCCAGACGAGACCTTTGGAAGTTAGAGCTTGAGAGCTGATCGAGAATTTGAAAGTTCTCACAAAACGTCTCTAAGGTTTACATAAGCCAGTGCAAACACGAAAACATCATTTATTTCTTTTATAAAGCAACAAAAAAGTTAAACAGACAAATTGAAAACAGACGCTTCAACGTTACCCCTAAAATGCATTTATGATCGATTTGCAATTTGATTGATTTGATTGGTTGAATTCATATCTGTTTTGCACAGACTAATGACAACACAGCTATTGACTAATCAGAATCACATTTCACTGTCGTTACTTATAAATTGGATTCTAATTAAGTGAATGCCAACTTTATGTTGTTTTCACATAAAATGCTCACTTTAAACGAGCTTAAGTCAGTTCTAATGTAACATAAACCACTAATTGTTTTCTATTTAGCTTTTAATTCACTTAATCAGCAGAGAATTTCGGCAAACGCCCTTCTTGAGTTAGCTAATAATTTGTGCATTTGAACACAAGATCTTGTCAAGCATTTCCCATATTTTAATAGTTCAAGCAGTTTTAAAGAATTTCATGAAGTCACGTAATCTTGCAACATAAGTTAAAAGATCTAGAAAGACCAACTTACCGATACATTTCTTTTTGGATTCGTCAAGTTTGTATCCATCGGAGCATAGGCATTCGTAGGAGCCTGGGATATTTATGCATGAGTGATTTTTGCCACAAGGAGAAGTCTGACATTCGCCGATATCTAATGTTTCACAATAAAGTTGTTTGAAAATGTGTACCATAAATTAAGCAATTTTATGTCTAATTTAAAAATGTGTAATAAATAAATATGAAATTTTTTGTTTAATTTATTACGTTTGAATATTTCTTAATTGATTTTACGAGAATGTAAAAACATAATTGTCCTAAAATTTTAATACATGTATTTGATATGAACAAATCGACATCTAAAACGTCAAATAAATTATGTAACAAATGAAAGTATAGTGAGATCTGTGATTTTTGGGACTGTATGTATTAGTAATTTATTTGTAACACAACTTTCTAGATTCGTTTAGACAAATATTTTTGTAAATCATACAGACTACGTTTGATTTTTGACAACAAGAATGAGTCTATTAACAGAATACATTAATTAACGATCGTTTACTGTACACAATAGAAGATTGCTCACCAAGGGCTACAAGCAGAACCACACATAAAGAATGTTAAATCTGGTAGTGGGTTTGATAATGCGGCATTTATGATATAAATCAAACCTAGTTCTTACATAGCTAATAGGACTATGAATTATGAAGTGTGACGTGTACCCACGACGGTTGCTATTTTGAATTATTTTCATCATTAATAAGAAAAACGAAAAACAACTTAGCCATTTAAAGCAACGAGTTAGCTTTGGAAAAATTCCCACAACAGGGGCATATTAATTATCTCATACTGTCGTTTCAAGTGTCGGAAATTTTGAAGAAGTGGAAAAATCATATTTGATCCAAGCATATCGTCATTGATATGCATATCTTGGTATGAAAAGCAGCGGTATTTGGAGACGTTGCATCTTGCCGTATAATTTTAAAAAAATATTGTTCAATCAAGCCTTATTCATTGCTCCATCAAGCACTGTTTATTTTCAAATTTATTGTTTTCTAAGTAAATAAGCACAGAAAAACCAACAAAACAAGACTAAATACAGCCAGTTTGGCTACGACCAGGTCCAAAACTAGAACGTTGATTGGAGGGTTGAATATTCATATATGTGCGAATATTCATGTTTTGTGACCTAATGTGCTCAGCAGTAGGGCGTGACGGACAAAGAAGTTATGCAAATAGGAATGGCTAAGAAGGTATGGCATTTTCATCATTGCCTAAAAGCAGGTCTATTGAATTTATATAAGTTTGGGGAAGCTTCATCTAAGGTTCCGTTTTTGACACATTTACTCGGTCAAACCTATTACTAAACATTACTCTCAATTATATTTGATATTTAAGTGACCATTCCCTGCATACCAGTTTTTTATTGAATTGACATCTTTAAGTATGAACCAAGATATACTTGCAATTTTTTAGATTGGCCAAATTTGGTACCACATTAAGATTAGTTGAATATGTTAAACTATTTTTGGCGATAAGAGAATTATTTGTCTTCAAGCCATTAACATTTCACCTTGGGCCATTGATTGAATCACTCTTAGTTGCACAAAAAGTTCAGAATTCGCTTTTAGTGCTCAACAATCTGCTACATGGTCGAATGAGTTCTCTAGTTCTAACATTTTTTTGGCAGGAAAAAGATAACTAAACAATGCACCAATTTTACCACAAAATAGTACATTTATGTAAAGTACCTAATGTATTGATAATTATAGAAGCTACTCACAGTTTAAATTACGTCTCTCACGTTGACAGATGAATTTAAAAGGATGCCCACATCCAACGTCATTCCACTTGGATTTATAATATGAGTCATAAATTACAACGCAGTCCTCTACACCATCAAAGTTATTAGGTTCTTTCCAATACCATAATTTGAAACTGGGCTTCCCATTTTGAACTGTGTAGAACTGATTGTCGCTTTTATTGCGATACAAACCAATAAAATGACCTTCCCAGCCTGTTCTTAAGATGATTCTGGAAATGGCATTATTCTCAGCATTATTCTTTGGAACAGCAAGATCTCCTCCCATCTGTTGACAAAGTTTTCTTGCTTTATTCCATGTTGCTAATTTTGCACTGAAGAAATAACAAGATGATTCTATATGCAACCAATCAGAAGGACAGCTTGCTAGACGAATGAAAAAATAAATAAGACAACAATAACAAGTAATTGTTTTCAGAATGATTTGTACGAATAGAATATAATATTTAATATGCACTTTTAAACTGTAAAAGCTGACTAAAAATGCTTAAACAGGCAGGATTGTGTTTTGCATACAGATGTTGTTTAAAACAAGTCTTTCAATACCTAAAGGGTTTTTAAGGAATGAGGAGGGTCTTTGAGCTGGTTTTGTAGAGTAGCCACAAGTTGCAGATTAAAGTACAATAGAATACAATTCTTAAAAAAATTGTATAGAAATTTTAAAAGAAATAAAAGAAATTGATTGTGAAGCTTATGTAGTCCGGGTAACACTTGAGATTTTAATTATAAGGGGAAACCTTTGTGTTTAAATGGATGGTTATAATAATCGTTAAGTGTTGATGTGGATTTGTTATGTATTTATATTGTGCATAATCAACTGTCTGTTTTAGACTAAAAAAAAATTCATTTCATTCGAACGAGATAAACTCACTACATTATGAGTTCTATACATAGAGCATTATAATAGTATATCGTACAGTTTCCAACAGGATATATTATTGAAATTTTGGTCATTTATCTCATCTAGAATGGCAAAGAGTAAAAACTATGTTTAAAGAGAACAGGACTTTCAAAACGCGGGAATGTAAGCTTCAGCCTACATAGCCTACTGAGTAATCGGACAACGGCCATATTTGTCTGTTTTTGGAATAAGTTCATAAAGCTACAATCCATTGGTTGAAGACATTTGATGTAATATTATTGAGGTGCACTCATTCTAGGAGGTCTGGAAGCATGTCTGTCAAAATGCTTTTTAAAGTTTGGATTTACAGATTTCTTAGTTTACGAAAACCAACCAATAATAAACTCAAGACTGTCTAATATGGTGTATCTATGTTAGCAGGGCCATAGCTAGATTACTAACTTCAGGAGGAGTGTCAAACCTAACCTTAACCCTTACCTATCCCTAACCCTACCCCCTCCTTATTGTAGAGAAAATCAAAATGTGTTAATGCTAACATATGCTATTGTCATTTAGAGAACCATACACTTTCAATGTTGTGTGCTGAGGAAGTTTTAAGTGTATTGAAGCTTTTCATAAATTTATTACTGATTTCCTGCTTGATTGTATTGATAATAATGAACTTGTATGTGTGGCTGTGAGCCTTATTTTTGTGGTTACATGTAAAATGTAGATGCAGCAAATTCCTTGCACAGAAGCAACAGCACAGAGAACAGCTCAGGATTCTCAACAAAGAACAAAGTTTTAAAACTGCACAGAGATGCTCTTTATTCATGATCGGTGATAAAAAATCTTGATAAAGACAGTAATAAATCCATACCTTGGCACGAGTTACATTCTCCTGAGTATCCTTCCATACACGTGCAGTTCAATGATCCATTAATTTTACGATAGTATGTGTTGGGTCCACACAAAGGAAAGTGAAAAGTGCTTGTCGCTATATCGATCAATAAAATTAAAAATAAAATCAACCAGGGATTTTAAACGAAACATATTCTTCCTCAAAGAACACAATTTGTCACTCAGTATCCACGTTGACGTACCCAGCAAGCAAGTTTGTGATGCTATGTTGGTAATTTTGGTGTTCGCGCATTTCGTAAAAACAAAACAATTAAAGAAATGTTGAAAACTTACAGAGTATGAACAAAAATTGGCTGGCTGTTTGGGACACTATATGGGATATACTAAAGAAGTTAGTTCATTGAAAAATGTTCAGAAAATTATCAATTCATCAGTAGTTCTCACAAAATGTGTCAAAGCTCATGTAATTTGGCATGAATTTGCCTTGTTTATTTACAGTAAAATAAATAAAAAATTAATCTTGAAAACCATGAGAGTACTTCGTAATCGCCTCAATTTGAACAGCATACACAAAGAAAATGAAAAGGTTCAAATCTAGTCTAATCCAAAGATGTAAAAGTTTAAACTCTGTTTTGCAATATACTGAAATTTTAAGAAATTTGATAAACATTAAGCTCACTGCACAACATGCTCAATTTGGACGTTTTTGTCTTACAATCTATTTTCATGATTTTTTTTATTTAAGACTGATTTCAAGCCCAAGTGATTGTTTAAATGATGTAAGAAACAATAAAGACTTAACTTTAACGCCCAAGAACTTTGATAAGAATAGACAAACGGCAAAAATGTCCAAATTAGACACTTTGCACTTTGAACTTAATGTTCATCAAATTTTCTATGATTTTGGAAGGAAGAACAACCGTTTACTAAGGCAATGTAACTTTGAACTTTTTAACGTCTTTCTATTTTATGAACATTAGCGTGGGAGTTTTTGCAAGTCTTAGAGTATTATGTCAAATAGGTAAATATTTACCTACCGTTTGAGTCAGGAGTGATACTGTGTATTGCTACAGCCAAATCAAGATAACCGTTGTTTACAGGAAGAAAATATTTACGTCTCGTACGTTGATCTGTTGTGTTATGGACACTAACGAAACTTCGTCCAACACTCATGATATAAATGAAATCCCCAAATACTGCCATGGGACCTCCTGAAGTTCCAAAATCAATTACATTTTGTGAGTAGTAAACATAAGATAAAATATTTCCGTTTGAAACTCGCCAATAAATCTTCTCTTTAGCCATGTCAAGCGTTAGATCAAGTGCTATTGACTGAAGTGAAACTGAAAAAATATGATGTTTATTTGCAGTCATGCTCCATAACCATAAGAAAAGTTTTGTACTTTCTGCCAAGAATAGATACCTTAATAAAAATATTTGTTTTGTACATAAGTTTTCTCTATGCGTACTGAAATACATAAACAATTGGCAGGCTAATATATGCAAGAAAGGAAAGACAGAATACTTTTTAGTTTAGACAAAGATGTTGTCAAAGTATTCAGAACTACCTTCATATATAGACGGTTTAATGGAACATATTCATAAAATGTGATAATATAGAAACATAAACCCATTGTAACTAACAGGAAAAGATCATCTTTATCATTTGAAATCTCTCTTTCAAATAACGAACTAAAATATATTGCATGTGGTTCATAACATAATAACAAATGTAATATGTTATTTTTATTCACATAACTTCTATAATGATTGGTATTGTTTGCGATTATTGTCGGAATGAGTAATGTTGTAGTTTGGAGTGGCTGCTGAATGAATTGTGTTGGTAATTGATAATGCTGAAAATTAGCTGATGCGTGCAAATTTTGTTCGTATTGAAAATTTGGTGTTGGTAAATGATATGCACCATTTAATGTAGATATAAAGTTAAGAAAGCTTTGTCATTTCAATTTCAAGCTTTCTTAATTTTTCAGTTTCATCTTGCATGAAAAGTAGCAGCTCCTTGGATGGATCATCGTCCACAAATGACTTTAAAAGAGCTATAGCTTCAAAAACATTGTCTTTTGTTGATACTTTTTTCAGTTTGTTTGGACAAACGATTTTTTAAAACTATCTTAACCTTCTCTTTTTAATTGTCAAATTTTTTCATTGTTTTCCTAAAAAATCAGAAAAAGATTGCCAGTGGAGCTAGCGCTATTGGTATCATTTGAAAATGATGATTCTATCGCTATGTCATGTTCGTGTTTTTAAGAATCTTTGGATTGGACAAGCTGCAAAAACTGCTTGAACATTATGGCCTTTACTTTATCGAAAATGTTTGATGCAAGTGGCAGTTTTGATTATCATCGCAGCATATTTGCATTCTAAAATACATTTCTTAAATATATTACGCATTTGAGTAACAGTAAAGTCCATGTCTTCTTGTCGTTCATTACACCTTGCCCCGAACTCTTTAAGAACATTCTCCTATATATTACCGTTCTTTTGGCTTTTTGTGTTCGTGAAACTTAATTTTTTCTTGTAATATGATAACAATTAATGCCCAACATAAAGTTTTCATTAGAGCTATAGAAATAGACCAAAAGCTGTAAAATTGAATTTATACTGACATTTCGTCCTTACTCAAGACATATTCAGGCAAGTAATAATTTATAATGAGATTTTAAGACAAGATATTGTATTTACAAAAGGTGTTAAATTACGACTAAAGGAGGCGGTGTCAAATGGATTACATGATAAAGAAGTTGGGAAGTAAAATTTAGTGAAGTTAAGAGAGGTTAAGTGGAATGGAGCCTCCTTGCACGAAGAGTGAAGGCTTGTATTTATTTATTAGAAGGCTCTCATGAATGGAGAGTTCATAGAAATCGTTAGAAGAGGAAATTATTTTAAAGTCATAAATTATTTATAACATATTCAGAAAGTTCTCGCTCCACAAGGCTTTTAAGCAAATTTGTTTATAATCACATGATTATTATCTTCAGATTCATCATCAGTGAAGCAACTACAGACCTAACGTTTGCTTAAGCTACTCTAAGAAACACTGTATGAACTAAAGGTCGTGGAATAATTTTCCATTCAGGTGATTTTATTGGATGTGTGATTGGATTTATTAAAGGGAAGTGTACAGCCACTTAATTTGCAGCTTTTGACTTTTCAATATACTCTGCCATTTATTGCAAGTTAAAAGAAGGCTTGAAAAACTATAAACTTGATATATTGATTATGTTTTTCTAAATTGCCACATTTTTGAAAACTAAAATCCATTTTTATATTTTTCATGTAACTACGCGGGAATGTGTGTAGTTCTTTTTATCTTCATTACAAAATGAAAAGTTGAGGCTTTTTACGTTCACCACATTCGTGAATATTTTAAAACTCTATTGCCATTCCGTATTGAGATTGTTGCACATCTCTTACACTGCCTCAAAAAAGTATACAAAAGAGCACAGTATAGCAACAAACAATGCTCCCAATTTGTTGAAATCTTTTGTGTAGGGCATATCTTATTAAGCATATGATTACCATGAAGGTATCAAATAAATTGCTTTTTCTGACAAAGAAAAGCCCTCTTAGGTGGCTAGCCGAAGCCAGTGTTGGAATCAAATGTACAAAACTAAGTTGCACAGTGAAGTTGTACTACTTTTTTGTAGGTTGTGGAAAGCCAAGGTTCTGTGAGTATTTGACTAAAGTTTTATGTGCAAAGTAATTATTTAGTATTTTATTTCAGTTTCTACCGCTCTGTTTTATTTCATTTAATGACTTCATCATATATAAACATTGATCCCTCTGTTGTTACCTTTTTTCTCAAAGCTCTTTGGTTGCTCAACATAAATATCGCTGTCGATTTTTGAAATTTCAGGATCTGCATGTTATTTTCTACTGCATGTGTGCTGAATAATCACACGAAACGTGTTCATTATTGCAGTTGGTTTGAAATGCCTTATAGTCACGCAATAAAATTTTGCTGGCCAAATCTCTCCGAAAGACGTTGATTTTAATAAAATCTGTCGAACTATATGACGTTTGTTTCTTTATAGCCAACAAAATACTTAATATTCGCTCCCTCGAAAAAGCGAGTTTTGATTTCCCTGGAAAATCGATATTTTTTTCTATTATTAAACCTTTAAATAACAAACCATAATACGGACTTATAAAATTCAACTTTTCTATTAAATTAAAACACCGTCTCTAAAAACAAAAACTCTTATCTTACTTAAGAAAACCCTCCAATAGATTGGCATAATTTATTAATTTTACGCTTACAAGTAAATAAAAAGAATTTCAATATCGCCTTACCCATGTTTTGAGTCAAATGCAATGCTGGAAAATTGTAAGCCTGGTTGAAGCCTCATAACACTTATAATTTTCTTTTTCAAATAAATTTGGTAGATAATGTTTGTGGAGTCAATGTAAAAGATACGACGACCAATCCAGTCAACTGTAATATCATGAACAGAAACATTTTTCGCAAAAATTTCGTTTCTAGTCAAGTCAAGATTTCCCCGTTTGATGTCTTTGTCATCAATGTAGTAAAGCACATTCTCAACTACATCAATTTCTATGTCATTATATCTTGATGCATGGTCAGATTTATTCTTACTGGAGCCATTAATAGTGCTGACATGAATATCTCCAGTAATAGAATCAACAGAGTATATTTTATCAAAGCTCATAATAATCAAATATGGCTTTGGATAAACATCTAAATAAATAATAAAAACTATAAATAACAACGATGAGAGTGGATTAAAAATGCAAATTTTATAGACTTTACGATCATAATATTTTGTGAAAGACCAGAATAAGTATTTTAGAAAGAATTTTTCACTGTAGAAATATTACTAATAACTGAAATTAGATTGGCTGCACAACTTCTACCTATTTTTGTTGAATATTGTTTTTGGTGCTATGAACAAGAAACTATGAAAATTTGTCAAATCTAAAGATTATACCTTTGTAAAAACACATTTCTGTTTGCATTTGCATCATTTCTTTGTTGTATTGTTTTACTTCCTTGCATGCAGTTGTGTTATCGTCATTGCCATTTTTATCAACGCAAGTTTCCATCCATTCTTTCACGTTGTCTTTTAATGTCTCTAAGCTTTTCTTGCAGATTGATATGTCGTCATTACCATTTACTATTTGGCCACTAATAGACAGGATTATGAGAGTCCCAAGAAACGCTTTTGTTGAGCTTGATATCATCTTTATTTTCTATTTATTAGAAGGTGGACGATTACTAATTTCTTTAAAGCTTTTGTAGTAAAACATTTACTTTATTTATGAAAGGCTTATCATCAATATAATCATATAATCATTTGTTCTTAAACTTTTTTTGGTATATAAATCAAGTATTGATTTCTATAATTATGTAACATTTTAACTTCCTTCTCCAAAAAGTATGTTCACGTTTGCTTTCAGATAATTTATGATGATTGAATATTGTTGCAATAGATTAGACAAATTGTTCTTTACAAAGACTCATGTTTACAACAATTCATATAAGTAGATTTCATCCGCCTAGAACGTGTTGTGAATAAATACATTCAAGGTTTCTAGCAAACGAAAGCATAGAAAAGAAATAAAACATTTCAATGTCCACTATAAGGAAATAACGCAATATATGAAATTCACCAAGAGCGGTTTAGAAAAAATTTAAAATGGGTTGATTTCAAATTTGCTCATGTTAACTCAGTTTACCAGATGAATGGGAAGACGTATTGCTTAACTAAGCCAGCAAAATTAAATACCTAATAATCTGTTGCGCAGTGTTTAACAGACTCGCTGGTCTCTCTGTAACTACATGTCGTCTAGTTACAGAAATGGAGGCCGTTAAACAATACATGATATTCTGCTTTACAACATCTGTCAGTCGTATAGAGAGGTTCGACTCTCATAATTATATAAATTCTGAATTGAATGAAATTTATGAGTATTTTGACAGAACTGCTAAAGTAAAGAAAATCTAAAAGCTAAAAATTCTTACTTCTTCAAATATTTTGTTTTAGACAATTAAAAGGCATTTGCCATTTGTCAAAAATATTCTTGCAATATTGAATAATTGTAGCAAAGAAACAAGAGACGAAA